TACTGATTAACGCTAAATTAATTAAATCACTGCGAACTTATTAGTTTAAGCTATAAATAATGATCCATTGATTATTCCTGGCTGAGCGGACTTCTCCTTTAAGTTCTCATCACTGTCTGCATGCATAGGGTTCAGATGGCAGCCTGGTCATTTACTGCCTGTATTTCCCTTCTGTCCTGCTGACTGTTAAATATCAGGCCTATAAAACATAAAAAGGAAAACAATATCCAATCATGCTCTACTTTATGCTGACCGCTCACATGAATTTCTAAGGTGATCGAATGTAAAAATGTCCAAGACTTATGAATATTTTCGCAGTGTTCTGTAAATAGAACAGTATTACGGACTGAAGTGGGCAAACAAAAACTGTGAAAAAGTGATAGTTTAACTTCTGTGTAGATCTGGATAGAAGCTGAACGACCTAAAGCATCATTTTGTGTTAATCTTTTAAAAAAGCGTGGTTGTTTGTTCCTTCCTGAACCGTCATTGTAGCAGAAACAATGCAGACAGGTGAAAGGAAAAGCAGCCGAGCATTGAAAGCTTCCAAGGCCGTCATAAAATTGTTCGATGGGATTGATGACATGCCGGCTGAAGCAGCGGGATGTGCTGCATGTTAAACGGCTGCAATCATCTCAGATTGGACACTTTGTCAACAACGTTGAATCTGGTCATTTGTAGGAGTTCAGCTGAAAAGAACGATCAATATGGAAGAGGATGTAAAAACAAAGGGAAAAAATAAGCCTCCTCTGCTGTGTGCTACTCACAGGCTCTGCCGCAGCTCTGCTGTGTCTCTGGACGTACCCAGCGACTGAAGACTTTTCTCCAAGGAAACCACTGAAGAAACAAACAAACACCAAGAGAAAATAAAATTAATTTCTACAAACTCAGAATCAGTAAAAGAAGCTGGAATCTTTTTTTTTTTTTTTTACAAATAAGTTTGAACCTTATTTAGAAATGGATATGAGCTAAATACCTCTGCAACATTTGAGAATGATAGAACCATAATATCAATAAAAAAAATTAAAATACCAATTAGGGCTGAAATTGAATTGAATCTTGAAATAATCGTCAGCTAATTTACTAATCAATTGATCGTTAATTGGAATATAGAGACTGTAAAACATGCCTTTAGCTGACAGAGTGACTCACTTAGAGCAAGAATTACACTAAAACTATAGAAATAAATATTTTGCAATAAAGATAATAAAAACTCTTTAAAGTTTCCTGTCCATATGTTCTATCTAGAACTCCACAAGTGGAAACATTTTAGTTTAAACTGGTTTGATTGTGTAATAAATCTTCTTTATGGAGCATTTTGCTATTCAATCGATAACTCAAATAAATAATCAACAGATTATGTTTGTTCTGCCTTTCCTGGAAGTTTTAGCTCGTTTTCTGTTCGTTTCTATTAGCTAAATGATTGTTAGTTGCAGCTCTATAAGGAATACTAACCCTTCTGTTCAGATCATGCTTCAGATCACCAGACAGTAAATAATAACAGTTCTCAGCTTCTTTATTATTCATAAAATTTTATTTATAAAGTGCTTTTTTAAAAAGCACAATTTAAACTAATTACTGCAGATCGCTGAAAAATACAGAAAATTATTCAGCTCATTGGGGCTGAATTTCTTTCTATTGGTTCAATCAGGTTGGTTTGCTTCCATCTCACTAAGAAATCTTTGGAAATTTATAAAAACTTTTAAATCCATTTTTGTTTTAAAGAGAAAAGCCATCAGTGGTCAGAGAGAGAGGATTGTGGTTTCAGCTCAAAAGTAAACCTGGTCTTTGATTTCTTTCATCATTAT